CTTTTTTGATGGCGTTGCCATATGTAGTCAGGGATGTCTTGTATTTACCCCAGAAGGCCCCGTTTCGTTTGGCCCTGTTAAATAGCTTTCTCACCGTTTCCCTCATCGTTGAGAGTCCCGGGTTCCACCATTTGGATGTCCCCGTTTGCCTCTTCGACTTCAGAGGGCATGCGGATTCGTAGGGTGATTTTATTGCTGATGTGACGGTAGTCGCCATCAGTTCTAACTCCTGCACACTATGTGCCTCAGTTGAGCAGTCCCCCAGCTGCAACCTAAGATTCTCTTTGTGAGAGGCCCAATCAGTTGTTTTCGGATTTCTATACACCGAGAGGGGAACCTCTTCCGATTCGATGTAGAATCGTATGTATCTATGATCGGACAACTGTTTTGTCTTAGATACTAAGTTGTTGTTTGAAATATCGCTTCTATCCTACCGAAAACCTGAATGCTATGAACTTAAGAAACATAAGGTCACGCTCCAACTAAAATCAAACGTCCACACGAGCCAGCCATTTTCAATGATTACTTTGCTAAGTACACACAAATTCTGCAAAAAATTTTCGTTCTCAATCTCTCATTCCCTGTTCAGCATGGAATAATAATTCTTTTATATTTTAACAACCTCGAATATATCAAATATGTATAAAGTTTATGCACAGCGTAACGTTTCCTCTGAATATCTTATTGATGTTATTCAAAAGTCATTATTCCTTTTTATGTAAGCAGAATAATAAAGTATGCTTTTTACTTGTTGGGGTTATTTTTGCGCTCCTACATAATGTGCAAGTCATGTAAAAGTATCCAAATGCTTTTAGCGTTTTTCCTGTTTAGAGTTAATGCGGGGTAAAATAAAATATGGTTTAATGGAATGGAAATGGTTTTTAAAAATGCTTTCGGCCAGGAACTCAACGAAAACAAAAAATGGTTCAGAGTTGTATGGGTACTAACTAAAGCTTTCACCAGCAAAACTTTCACCTTATTGTGCGGCCTATAATACTGTTGAAGAACGGTCTGTTTATTTTTGGAAAATGTAACCAGTTAATTTCAATAATTATATATTTGTGAGTCTAATATTATAATTCTGATACTTATATTATTTCTGAATTGACTTTTGCCTTTCAATACTATAATTGTGGATATTTAAATATAATATAGGAAAATATCTGTATAATTTTGAAAATCTTCTAACTTACAATTCTTCGAGATAAATAGATTAAATTTTAGTGCACGTCAGATATTGCTCGTTAAGTTTAGTTTTCGATTTAGTTCTCAGGATTGAGGCGACCTTGCAAACTACTGGAAAATGTAAACATTTTCAGAAACAGTTTAGTGAAACTCAAATTTAACTTTATTATGAGCGATATTAGTAATGCCTAAAACTTCTTCTTTTTCTTCCTCCTCTTTTGAATGGCTCTGCTCCTCGGCAATTAGCCAGCTCGTTTATCCCAATACTTAGATCGGGGCGCGAAATGCTCAGTTAGGTTAGTGCTTTCTACACCTATTAACCTCTTGGTTTCCATTTCATACATAAGGAGTTCATCACTCATACACTGAATGCTGGCAAATCTATTTCTCAATATATTCTTGAAACCTGCTGACTAATTCGATGATATTATCTGAAATAATGAAAAAAGAATTTGGCTTAACGACCTTTCAATTACCACTAGAAATGGCTACTCATCAATAATTTATTTTCCGAAAGTTCGGGTTACCTTATGTATAAAACATCAAATATTCTTAGTATACGATGTATCGTCAAAAAATCCGAATAGCAAATTACTTCTTTTATCGTTCAATTCAGCAAATAACAATGGTAGCTGATGGCTCAAAGGAAAATTTAAATTACACTTTTGCGAGATAATAGCTTCGGACGGAATAATATGAATTATGGAATAGCGCGTCGTCGGGTGTTATTTAAAAGAACTGGTGTTATTATCCGTGTAATCAACGTTTTAAGGTAGAAGCGAAATAACATTGTAAATTTTGTATTCAGCAGTCCATTGTTGGGAGTATTTTGATGGGCTTTGTCCCTTATTTTCAAGACTGGGAAGTAATAAATTATTTTTCCAATGTGCCAGGGGTATTTGTTAAAGACATTTTCGTTTCACAGTGAGCCGGACAGATAGGATCAACATTAATTACTGTTCACAAATAGTATTTAAATTGATTAGAGACATTAAAAGTACTGAAAATAACTGTGTTTTTTATATTAAATGTATACGTTCTTCAGTGTAATTATCTATATTTGCTTTAATGTAATTGTAAAATATTTATGAAGAAAGAGATGTAAAGTTTATTTGAAATATCCTGTTATAAAATCATTAAATATTGTAAATGAGGGCATATTCCGCCAAACTTTATTCCTCGTTAAAAAGTCATCTTGTTCTTGGGCAAGATGTTCACTTTGCATAGTAATTCACTTTTAATCCTTATCGTGACAATCCACAAACCATGTTTAAGGCTGCATATTATCAAGAGGATACTCACTTTAATGGGAGTTTAGAAGCGGTGCTGTAGATTTTTGTTTTTAGAATTATTTAAATATACGTATATATGTCTAAAACAATGAAAGTGTTTGCTTATTTCCAATTCCCTTTACGTTTGTGCCTTAATCAAGTTGTGCTTCGAATTTACCAATTCTCATGGATTTTTTTAAACTTTTTCTGTTTGCCAGGTCATCAGCACGAGTTGTAACATTAGCCTCATGAGATCTTCGGCTCTATAATAATAGGATCATCTTAATCCTTTAATCGGTAACCAACTTTTAAAATGTGAATTTTGTTTTCGAAAGGGTATGAATTATAACCGCTAAGCACATTAGGTTACATACTTTGTATCGTCAATAAATGGGCATTTCAAAGCTATTCGATATATCTGTTACTTTTTAATTCGAAATAATGAAATACTAACGTTAAGGTTATGCCTATTTTACAAATTTTCTAGTCTGCAGGCTTCAAGGTCAACAAATGTCTCCTAGCGCAGTATAATCAGTTGAGAGGTAGCTATTAGATATGTCGCGTCGCTTAATCGACTTCATTGGAACCGAAGTTGTTTTTACCGCAATCGAAACCATAGCCGGAATAATTTTATATTATAGGATTCCGCTGGACTCAGCGCTTTTAGTGCCTGCCATTCAAATGCCGCAAAAACGTTGAAATAAATATCTTAAACTCTTACTATTAGGTAGTTCGACTTTCGAGGTGAAATTCGTTTGTCCACACTCAAATTACATAGCCGGTAACATACACATAAAAATTACAGAAAATAATCGATTAAGTCTCTTATAGAAAATTTTACATATTGTAGATTGTAAATGTTATAAATTAGAGGTATAAAGAATGCCATATAATTATTTAAATAACTTCAAAATCTTAGAATATCGAGAACAACTTTGGATCAACTTCCCCCACTTGAAATGATTCAAATTGATAAACTGGAAAACTGAAGACAGAACCACCTAATTTTTAACAAACATTCCCAAATTTTTAGATGCATCTGTTCAACCCATTTAGTTCATCCATGACTCTGTCATCCTATTATAAGAGCGTGTAATTTAAATGAGTATCCTTGAATATAAAGTAACGCTACAAGTTTTTTTTATTTTAATGCAGTGTGTACGCACTAACTTCCTTTCTATTTATTTTTGTTCATCTTCTTCCGTGTCAATTTTAATTTAACAATTAAAGCAAATTCTGTTTGGGAAGGAGACCGACTTTTTACCGTCTACCAAAAACTCCATTATCCCTACGCTTCTTATTTTGATTGGCAATTAAGGCTGATTTTTTATTGCTGCTTTTGACACCCAAGCTCATATTCCTGGAACGGTGCTTGTTTCTTCAACAAATTTTCTAGATTGCAATTAAGATATTGACGTAAAATAGCGTTTCCAATTACGCGTACTATTACGGCACTACTAAAGAGTTATCTTGCTAATAAAATGATCTTAGAAACGAGTGAAAAAAGTATTAACATGGTGAAAAATTATTATGCCATAACACATAAAAAGTTTTATTTTCTTTAAATCTAATTATACTTGATCAGATGTTCGTATTTCTCTAATCAAGGAATTTCATTTCCAACAAGACAATAATGTAAATTTGGATTTAAAGAAAATGGTAGCAAATTGTGTCGTACTTATATTTATAAGCATATTAGCTACACATCTGAATTCCACGAATCAAATAGTAACCTTTTAAGCCATTTTTTTCTCACCATCAATTTTAGATATTATTATGTGCAATATTCTTAATATTTTCAGGCTTTTCTTAGACCCACCATTTCAATTGCAATGTTAGGTGTCGTATCCGATCAGGACAAGTAGGTGTCTATTGTTAGTCAAAGTAGTCATCGGCAATATCACTCTGACCCCCTTCACATCAATTGAACATATAAGGGAGCACAATTGAATACAATATACCATTGTTTTAGGGCCATCCTGTTGCAGAGCAAACACGAGCTTGACGACGCTATTCAGAGCTACCAGAGAGCAATCCATTTCCGGCCGTCATTGGCACGTAAGTACACGTTAGGATTATTTCACTTGTAAGATTTAATTAAGAAATGTGTGTTTAGAACGTGCTTGTTTATAATACCTACACCTGTGTTCTATGTAAATTTTCGAATTTACCAGTTTCGGTCATGCGGGCTTAGACCAAACCGAAAGCAATCGCAGTGATGCTTCTTTGTAAAAGTTATTATCATATCATTAAATTTTTCCATATTTTTTCCGTTGTATACTGTGGTAGTTTATGTCACAGATGTATAAGATAGTGGATACAATCATTACGTTTAAACTGCTATGACATTTTCATGCTCAGCTTGACAAGAAATCATTGTAAGGAAGCACAGCCTATTAAACCTTAGCAATTACTGACCCGTTTTATAAAGCCCATAAAGCCATCACAAATATATCATAAAGTCGGCTGAGAAATAACAATTTGCTTTGTATGGGCTACGAGAAGCTTTTCGTACTCCAACCCATTTTTTTCCAGAACAGAATTGGTTTCATCAACGATTCTGCAACTCATTTCCTTTCTATGAGCTCTATTCGTCGGTTTGAAGTTTCGCGTCATAGTTTTGAAACTCATTTTCCAGCAAACAGTAGCAAAACTATTGACGTAAATTATCTACTTCTCTAAAAGCTCAATTATAACACGATATTCCCATTAAAATATAATGTGATTGATATAGTGAATACTTGAATACAGAACGCTTCAACGAAGAGTCTGTTTGCTACAATTTTTTAAAAATAATAAGTGATTATGATTAAAATATTGTTATTAAATTATTTTGTTTATCTAAGAGTTCGTACCTATTGATTTGATATTTCCGAAGACATTCCAACAAAGCGGATCTACGCTTTAATAAAAGTTGAGCATCTATAATAATACTTACACTGCAAGAATTAGGATACTATTCAAATCGTAACCGGATTTCAATATTTCCAAGCGAAATTCGCATAGAAAAAATGCCTGAGCTGCACATTAAATTTAATGCAATAAAAGTATGCATACACAGTGATACTTTTGTAAAACCCCAAAAGGCGTATAAACAGTGTCTGGGAAAAGAGGGGGACTGAATAACGCATAAAGTATTCGTCGCAAACCATCAATAAAATCAGGTCTCAACTCATGAGAGTGCTGTTGGAATTGAGATATCCGGATTTCTTCATAACGCCAATTTATATCTCCGGACTGCTCAAATTTCGTCTTTCAGTCGCTCCGACATATTTTTATGCAAATCTCGTTCCGGTGCCAGAGTTTTATTGCCGACATAGCAAAATGAAGACGCGATCCATATAACCTTACTTTAATCAGGGGCGCACCGAGTTGCACACTCCGGATGTATTATTACTTTTATGTTGATTATTAATCAATATTTACTAGAAAGAATAGACACAATCAGAAGTAGCAGAGCTGAAAGTTAATCAACTTTATACTAAGAGAATTTTTATTTTTTCTCAGATATTGGTTAACGCAAACAGACAAACCCTCGCAAATCATTTTATTTTCTTAGCAATCTACATACGCTGCCTCATAATCAATAGGTTTTTTATGCATCTCAGTAGAAGTACTTAGATTGAAGGTTTAAGTATACACACAATTACATTCAAAATATGGATAACCCAAAAAAGAGACTTAACGTAGTTTTACAATATTTCTGAGCATACCAATTGTTTTTATTTTCAAGTTTTGAATTTTGGTGATCGTATGATTGAAGCAAAACTTTACAGTCAAATTGGAAAACTACTTGAATATTAATTACAGTTTCAATATTTTGTTACTGACACTTGATTGTTTAAGCCGCGAAATATACTATAAATAAAACAGAGATCGAAAGTAAGCATCATTTATTTGCTCAACAATAGGAGTTCTGTTATTAATACATTTAAAATGTCCAATTTAAAGTGAACCGCCTCTGCTTCATATTTCACGAATAACCCGGAAAGGGGATTTTGGAAAAGCCTTATATTATAGTCTTGTCTTGTTCTACCCAGCAATATGAAAAGATTACAAACGAGATTTTGATTGCCGGATAATTTCATTTGTTAAAAATCCTTCATCAGTATTCTTTTCAGTACTCTGCTGGATCGGTAGATAGATAAGTAAACTGACATAATGGTCATTTTCGTTTGACTCCTGGATTGTATTCATTCAAAAATTTAGAATTTTTTACAATTATCTTAGGTTTAAATTAACGAAATAATAATTGATTTGGATATTTTTATCCTAGATTATCTACTTGCTTTTGGGGTCACTGATTAAAACTCATTAAAACTTCAGGTGTTTGCAACAATTCCATAGTCTTATAAGTTTTTAAATTTCCCAAATTTTTGTCGCACACATTACACCAGAACTCTTCCATGATGGATTGATTAGGAATTAGGAATTTAATTATTAACTCAAGTTTTTACATCTTGGCAAATAAAGCCAACATTTTGGTGTATAACATTCCTCTAAACGGCGTAATATATTTTTATTATAAAAAACGAAAGGTTGTACTAAAATGGCTTTATTTTAATTGTAATAGGGCGCCATATGAAAGTAAGCTCCGTACAACAACAGCTCTATTAAACAGAGAGACATATTACAACGATGATTCCAATCGATTGCTTAATATACTACAAAGCGACCGGTTCTTTTAAAACCTCTCCCGAATTTGAACTCATTTATCAATGTCTTATCTAAACATTTTTAGCTACTGAGCTGCTTTAATTACAATAACTTTTAAAGTATTTTTTTGGTATAATATATAGGGTGTCGCGCCGGAACCGCCGCGATCAATATCTGGTCCTAAAACTATTATTGGGAGAAATTTGAAATTTGCACAGTGTGCCGACGTAATTGAGGGCAAGCGAACAACGAACTAACTTATTTTAAATAGAATGCCCTATATATTATTAAGTTTTTGGTTTCTCCTCCACGTCCTTAATATATTTCGTGTATAACATCTAACACCCCAGTCTAACCGTTTTTGCTATATTTGAAAGTCTATGTAAGAAATAACTTGCACCCAGTCGAATAATAATAATTATTTTTTAATAAGGAAATATGTGCTACTTAATTTGAGTCTCATTTTTTGTTGAGAAGGACTTACTTTAATGGAATTTCGAATATTTTTAAAACTTTTAATACAGTGTGTTAAAAAAATAGTTTCAAAGTGACGCTGATAAAGTCGCTCAAAATGTTCTCAAATTGCAACCCCTTTTTTCTGATAATTTTATCTTATTTATTCTCTCTATTCCAAAATTATTCATTTTTTGAAATATTGTCAATTTAATGTTTTTGTGTGGCTATTTTATCGCATCACCTTTTCAATATTGTCCCCTTAGTTGACATGATGAAAGTGGCCATTGTTAATATAATCAAATGCGCAAGAAATACAGTTATCGGATACTTGAAAGATTTCTAAAATAATTAATAATCTTGCGCAGACGCTTAAATTATACAAACAAAGATTATTTAAACTTATTTATTATTTATGGAGAATGTGATAAAGCTATATCCAGAACATGTGACACATTTGCCGTGTGATATGAACCAAAATAGAAGTCTCCACGATGTGCTGTTATACAAATTACAGAAAATTTTGAGAATTTAGGATACGCCTAAATGACAAGTGCCTGTTCAGTGTATAAAGTCAGCCAAAAAAATTTGAAAATCCTAAATTTAAAAAACTAGTCTTTTTTCTTTATATAAGTATAATTAATAAGATATAACCGGATCTCGATATAACTTTTTCACATTCTCCATAAAAAATAAATAAGTTTAAACAATATTCGCTTGTCTAATTTATTTTGTTTACATTTTAAGTACCTAATACAAAATACAAAACTTTCGTCATGAGAACTTAGATTAGACAATCAAATTTCAACTTTGTGGAATGGAACTTGTATTGGAATACTTAACCTCTCAAAAAAGAAAATTGTGGGGTTGGTTAATTTGTTAAACTGTGACTTTGAACGTGAGCTCGCACTTTGGAACTCCTTTTACGAATGAATGTGCGGACGTGCTATTAGTTCTGGGGAAATGTCACAGTAGAAGATTGACTCCAAAAAGAGAGTGGACAACAATTGTCAGAGATGCTAGTATATGAGACGGATGAACGGAGGGAGAAAAGAGAGCGAATCGAATACAACAAAACCTAAAATAAAAACCAGTAAGATTTTGACATTGTCAGAAAAAAGTTTTATGTACAGACATCTCGGTAGTTTTATTTAAAGAACCCGTCGACGGCCCTTTGAAACGGGTAGTTTCTTTTGGTGCACGACACAAAATTTGGCGACCGTGACAGGACATTTTGTGAAAAGAAATTATTGAGTTTCTTCTGAGGTACTCAATTGATCACACAGAGTAATAATAATATAGCTATTTATGTACCAAGGGCGTTACGGACCTTATAATGCCCTGAGGGCCGAACTGGCCCGAGGGTCTTTGGCCCCAGGGATAGGTTTCGGCCTGATGGGCATTATTATCTCCGTAACGCCTGTGGTGCATACAATGCTTTATGTTTCACCTAATAGCCTTACATTTAAAAAAAAGTATATTTGTACCGGTTT